GGGGGGGGGGGAAGTGTAAAGCTCAAAGGCTCCCTTGAGCTATCTGGTTTGGGAATCCTTCAGCACCCGACCACCCTATATTTTTTTAAATTGTGCCACAAGGGCCCATACAAAGGGCTTTTCCAGTTTAGAAAATATTGTAGAAGAAGAGATTTGGAGGCAGGGATTTCTGGAGTGGTCCAGGGATATGTTTGTGTGGCTTTCAAACCCCCAAAAGCTGCCCACTCCTATTCCAAAGAAACTTGGTCCAGGTAGAGAGGGAAGGGATTTCTTTCCATAAAGGTGTATAACTGGTTTTTCAGATTCAGTAGTTTAGGTTAGAAATGAGGGGGAAAATCTAACGTCTTCTAGGTATCGCCCTCAGCTGATTCAAATCTACCAAAGTCACTTGCTCCACTAAAGTCAATTGATCAGATGGGTGGGATATAAAGAAAGAAAGAAAGAAAGAAAGAAAGAAAGAAAGAAAGAAAGAAAGAAAGAAAGAAAGAAAGAAAGAAAGATATTACAGTAGGACCGTTGTATACGTGGGCTCAGTACCTACAGTTTCACTTATCCTCTACCTGAAAAAAATTAATTTAATCCAGAAATACGTATTTCCATCATGTATTACTAGAACTAGAGGAAACCAGAGACAACTCTCTCACTCTCTCTCCCCCCCCCCCAGTAGGGTTCCTATATCCACAATTTCCAGCACGGGGGGTTTGGAACTCTTCCCTTGTGGATACTGTGGTCTAATTAGATTTCAAAAAGAATGAATGCAGTTCAGAATTTCATTATGCACTTTGTTGGTTCTTAAGAGAGTAACGGTGTCAGACATTAATATATAAAAATCCTCTAAAATAAAATTTAAAAATCCACTAAAACCACCTCCTGCCAACATGGCCAAACGGAACCGTTCTAGCAGTGCAGAAAAAAAAAGGCTATAAAAAATGTTTTTCAGATTGCTCAAAAAATCCCCATTCCTGGGATTTCTCTACATCTGTTCAGTGGTATTTGGGGAGTGCAGTGTTGAAGGGGTTGACAACGGAGTGCGTGGAACCCGTTTTCTGCCACTTTGTGGGCTTCACCAAGAGCCAATCTTCAAGCAGGGAAGGGTCGACCCCAGTCAGAATCTCACAGCAAGAATCTTCCAGAACCATGACTGGAAGCAGGCCATCCAAGGGACATTTCCCTTTATATCGTTTTTGCTAGGTGTCTTTTAGTTAGGGGAGGGTTGCCTGTTTTGGGGTTTCAGTGACTCTGCACCACGCAATCCATTCAGCTTCAGTGCACCTCCGATGCAGCGGCTGCTCGGGCATTTGGCGCACCGGATGGAGCCTCTGCCACTGTTTGGCCAGCAGCCTCTTTTTCACTTCTAGGGTTTCCATCCATCTGCAAAAAGGATAAAGTCACAGTGGATAAATACCTATACATTTAAATGCACATATGTGTGTCGGGGTTTGGGTTTAGAAAGGAATGCAAAGGACAGCTTTCGAAAAAATGCGACCATAGAATCATAGAGTTGGAAGAGGCTTTTATAAGGCCATCGAGTGCAACCCCCCTGCTCAATGCAGGAATCAAAATCAAAGCAGATCTTACAGACGACTGTCTAATTTTCTTCATTAATTGACATTATAGGCCATGAGGCCTGGTTCCTGGATGTTACAAAGGGTCGAGGGATGTGGAAGGAACAGGGGAATGCATTTTAGATTTTTTTTGTTCGCAACCTCGCATGCTGGGGACAGCATTTAGGGAAATTTTAACAACTGGCATTAAAATGTTTAAAAAAAAAAAAAAGCAGATCTTACAGACGATTGTCTAATTTTCTTCATTAACTGACATTATAGGTCGTGAGGTCTGGCTCCTGGATGTTACAAAGGGTCGAGGGCTGTGGAAGGAACAGGGGAATGCATTTTAGATTTTTTTTGTTCGCAACCTCGCATGCTGTCTGTAGTTTTGAGTGCCTGGGAGGAATTTTTCTGGGCTGGGTACTTGTCTATCTGTCCATCACTAACCAATTGGTCCTTCCAGACTTGGAATCCAAAGACAGTCCCGCCTCTGCTGAATGTCCTTTCTCCCTCTCCTCGGCTGGAGAACATAAGGGAACTTTCTGAGTCGATTCTTCCCCACCGATTTCAAAACATTTTTTGGGGGGGGCTGCCAGGGTTTCCAGAGTTACTTGGTAGGCTGTATGTTGAACATTCTGTCCTCATTGTTGAGAAAGAATTGCTACTCCTCAGAGTTTTATTTCATATTATTTATATATTTATTTATTTTATTTATATCCTGCCTATCTAGTTGGTTAAGACCACTCTAGGCGGTTAAGGGACGTGGTGGCGCTGTGGGCTAAAGCGCAGAAGCCTGTGCTGCAGGGTCAGAAGACCAAGCAGTCGTAAGATCGAATCCACGCGACGGAGTGAGCTCCCGTCGCTTGTCCCAGCTCCTTGCCAACCTAGCGAAACGCTGGCTCTATGGCTTGGAAACGGGGATGAGCACCGCCCCCTAGAGTCGAACACGACTGGACAAAAATTGTCAAGAGGAACCTTTACCTTTAGGCGGTTAAGATCACTAAACAATCTGCTGCCCAATGCTACATCTCAGGGTGTGCCATTCCTTTTTGGGGGACTCCCAAGTCCCATGATTCTCCAAGAATTTCTCCATGCAAAATCCCAGGTGCTCCAGCCCACAAGCGCACACTTGCAGACACCTTTATTCCACTCGTCTGGACACGGCCTCGGCCTCCTTGCTGGCCTTCAGTTTCCTGGCACAATACATCCTGGGAGTGGTAGTCATGTTGCCTTTTATGCTCTATAGTATAGAGGACATCTCCTTTCCCCAGGAAGAATTGCAGCAGGAAAGGAAGGCCTGAAAAGAGGCCTCGGCCTTGTCCAGGTGAGTGAAATGGAGGTGTCTGAAGGTGTGTGGGATGGAACTCCCAGAATTCTGTCTGAGAAGTTTTTGAATAATTCTGGGGATATTGTGAATGACTCTTAATTTTTCCCCCTCTCCAATGCCAAAACAATGTTTCTCGGGGAGTGTCTCTCCTCTTTTCCCAGAATTCATGTACCGGCTTCCTTTCGGTGCTCAGCCATCAGGCGACAAAGGAACATCTGGTTCAGGATTCGAACCCAAAGCCTTTCCCACAATACACAGGAATCATGCTGGCAGCCTAGCAGCTGCTCACCATGAAATGAGGGGGTGGAGGCAGCCAAAAATTAAAAACTACAAGAAACAAACAAAACACACAGATTTTGAATCAACGCATTTATTCAGCCCAAAGAGGAACTGTTCAACATCTCAATACCCGCCCTGCTGCATCCTATAATCAGTGTTTTGCACTCCTAACCACTACCCATTTTGTATAAAATATATGCTAACCTTAGAGCCAGTCTGCATGGGCTCGGGCAAGCTGTACACTCTCAGGGCACTCCCTCAGAAGAAGGGAATGGCAGACCATTTCCGAGTACTCTATACTTAGAAAACCCTGCATAGGGTTGTCATAAGTCAGAACACTTGACAGCACACAATAATAATAATCACATGTGTTAATCAACATATCCTGCTACATGTGTGCTATTAGGTGGGTGAAGATGTGACCTGGGAGCAGGAACCTTAGCACAGGCCTTCTTCTAAAGTATTAGGGTTCAAGACTTCTGTCACACATTCTCTCCTGTGTGGATTCTCATATGTGTCTTAAGGTTTGAACTCTGGCTGAAGCTTTTCCCACAGCCTGCACATTTGTAAGGTTTCTCCCCCGTGTGCATCCTCTGGTGCACACGTAGGGCTGACTTAGAATCAAAGCTTTTCCCACAGTCTGGGCACTTGTGCGGTTTCTCAGCTGTGTGGGCTTTCTTGTGCTTCAGAAGCTCGGACTCTTTGCCATAGCTCCGGCCACAGTCTATACATTTAAAGGGCCTCTCGTTTCGGTGCGTTCTTCTATGGACGGTAAGTGCAGAGATACGATCAAAACAGAGTCCGCATTCTCTGCACCGAAACGGTTTCTCTCCTGTGTGGAGGCGTCGGTGTTTAATCAGCTCCGACTCTTTATCGTAGCTCTTGTCGCAGTCCGAGCAGCCATAGGGCTTCTTCCTTGCGTGGTTTTTAATGTGCGTCTGGTAACTGGTTTCCCAGCGAAAACGTTTCCCGCACTCCGAGCACTGGAATGGTTTCTCTCCGGTGTGAGTTCTTTCATGGAGATAAAGCATGGAGTTCTGAGAGAAGCTTTTCCCGCATTCAGAGCACTTGAAGGGCTTCTCCCCAGTGTGGGTTTCCTTGTGCCGGATAAGATGTGATGACTTCCCGTACGTTTTCCCGCAGTCTGAGCAGGCGTAGGGTCGATCCCCGGCATGGTTCTTCATGTGCATTTTGATACTGCTCTCCCACCGGAAACTTTTCCCGCACTCGGAGCATTTGTAGGGCTTACCTCCCATGTGGATCCTTCCGTGGACAAAAAGCTGAGAGCTCTGACGGAAGCTTTTCCCACACTCGGGGCACTGGTACGGTTTCTCCCCCGTGTGCGTCCTCTCGTGAATTAAAAGATCGTACCGGCGACTGAAACTGTTCCCACAGTGAGAACACTTATGGGGCTTCTCTCCAGTGTGGATTCTCTTGTGTGTGATGAGGTGTGAGCCTTGACTGAAGCATTTCCCACATTCGGAGCATTTGTACGGCTTCTCTCCCGTGTGGCTTCTCCTGTGGGTGTTGAGGAGACCTTTGTCCGCAAAGCTTTTCTCGCACTCGGAGCACTTGTACAGTTTCTCTCCAGTGTGGGTCAACTTGTGCCTCATCAGGTGGCCTCTCTTAATAAAGCATTTCCCACACTCACCGCAGGTGAAGGGCCTCTCTCCTGTATGAATCCTTTCGTGATCCGAAAGAATGGTACTAGTGCTGAAGGTTTTCCCACATTTCAAGCATTTGTAGGGCTTCTGCCCCGTGTGGCTTTGTTCGTGCCTTACCAGGAGCGCCTTATAACCAAAACCTTTCCCACACTCCAGACACCGATACGGCTTCTCTCCTGTATGTATGGTCAGGTGATTCGTAAGGATGGAAAGATTCTCAAAGGCTTTTCCACACACCGAACAAACATGTGTTTTCGTTCTTTTCCGTGCAGGCCGTTTCTTAGGGATCACAGTGCTCGGGTTATCCTTTGTTCCCGAGTCAGGACCCCCAATTTCTCTGGCACAAGAAGGCATTTCGCCTGACCCTGGGTTACCAGAAAGAGATTCTCCTTGCATGGTATGAAATTCCACAGGACTTCCTGGCCCCCGCTGACTTTGAAATGTTCCTCCTATTTTTGGCTCTGCACAAATGATTTCTTTCTTGCCATCTGGTACGACCCCATTAACATCCGTTTGCTCCGGTCTTCCTCCCAGCTGAAATTCTGCTTCCTCGTTTTCGTTCCCTTGCCAGGCCCCTGGAGGAACAGAAAGAGAACCACAATTCAGTCCGGTGTGGCCCATTTTCAGGGAAACTTTGGCCAAAATGACATTTTATTGTCATTTTATACTGGCAATACATTATGTTTACACTGATTTCTTAAATCTGTGACCATTTGGGAGTGGAAATTCTCCTAAAATCATTACATTAAAAATTGAGGAACGTCTTATACACAGACGTAAGCTGAGGAGAGAACAAAACGGCACATGCCTTGCCTCTGTAAACAGGCTGCCTCCAATCACGAGGCTTAGCTTCCTCCAATCACGAGCCTTATGGAACTGACATCAGCTGATCCTGAACAAACCAACTGGAACATACCTCTTTGGAGGTGGAGCCTGTAGGCTCAGATGCAACAGGGACTCAAAGTGTCTGACTGTTCTGAGCCCAGAGGCTGAATCCTCAAAGCAAGGTTTTCTCAATTTTTGGGTTATAAACGGAAAAATACGGTAATAGGATTTTAGCCATTACTTAAATATCATAACATATTTTAAATATATGATTTAGAAAATATAAGGATATAATGTGCATAAATATTCTACAGATAATCACACCAACTGGACTTCTTTCTTGTTAGGCTGAAACGTTTTGCTACTCATCCAAATAACTTCTTCATTTTGAAGAAGCTACTTGGATGAGTAGCGAAATGTTTCAACAAATAAAAAGGAAGTCCAGTTGCCATGACTCAACTTCCAGATAACTACACCTGGATGATATATTCACACATATACTCTATAGAGAATAGAATAAGAAAAGAAAAACTGGATGCAAATTAATACTACAGATAGAAAAAACTAGCAGGGGAGATACCCTTCTACAAAGGTTAGAGGTTTGAATGAACATGATGAATCAGGACAGTAAGACCCTGTATCTGTGGGTTGGGTATCCGTGGTTTTACGTATCCGTGGTCTGCCACTGCACTATTTATAACACACAAGGGTGCTTCCTTGTGGCCTTTGTCTTGCCACCTTGTATGTTGCATATAGGGTTCCCTTGTATCTGTGGTTTCAGGTATCCACAGTAAATCATGGAACTGTTCCCCTGTGGATACAGAAGCCCAAGTGAATTTCTTAAAGCAAGAAGACAGAAGTATGATTGTACACTATCCGAAATATGCTGCCTTAGAAGTGCATAAAACACATACCAAGTCTCTCTATAAACTATTCCAACTCCAATTTAGCCATTTTGTTAGCAAGACATTTGTGAAATGAGTGAAATTCCCCAACATGTACTGTACATGTGGCTGCTATCAACAAGTGCAGTCTAGTGCTGTTAAGTGCTAAGTTGCTGTTGTTCTCACTGAAAAATAGGATGCCGGTGCAACTGAATAAATATGTATATCAATGTAAATTCAGTAATTACATCTCTTCATTTACTGTTGTTACTGCTATGTGCCATCAAGTCACTTCTGACTTCTGGCAACCCTATGAATAAGTGGGACTCCCAATGGCCCCGTCTTCAAATGCCCTGCTCAGCTCTTGTAAGCTAAATATCATGGCTTCCTTTCTTGTGTTAATTCATCTCATATTTGGCTCTCTTCTTTCCCTGCTACCTTCAGCTTGCCCTACCATCTCTGTCTTCTCCACTGACTGTTGTTTTCTTATATGTCCGAAGTACAATACAGTGGTGCCTTGCATTACGATGTTAATTCATTCCAGCGAAATCGCTGTAGAACGAAAACGTCGTAATGCGAAAATAAAAAGTCCATTGAAATGCACTGAAACCCCTTCAACGCGTTCCAATGGGCTGGAAACCCACCGTCCAGCGAAGATCCTCCATAGGGCGGCCATTTTTGGTGGCTGTCTTGCAAGGAATCCGTCCCAGAAAACAGCGGGGAGCCATTTTATTTACCCGGCAGCCATTTTGAAACCGCCGATCAGCTGTAGAAAAATTGTTGTTTTGTTAAGAATTGGTTCCCGAAGCAGGGAACTGATCATCGCAAAGCGAAACAAGCCCATTTAGATCATCGTTTTGCGATCGCAAAAGCATCATCGTAATGCGGTTTTGTCATAATGCGGGGCAATCGTAATGCGAGGCACCACTGTAGTTTCAATCTGATCCTTTTTGCTTTTAGAGAGAACTCTGGCTTGACTTGACCTGAAGCTCACTTATTTCTCTTTCCTTTCAACTTATTTCTCAGCCCAAGGCATCCATAAACGTTCTTCTCCAACACCACATTTTTAATCACTCCTCCCCTGCACCCCCATTATCCATCTTTACTGTCCAGCTTTCACATCCATCAGGAATAATACAGATCACTTTTAAAAAAATCACTTCACAGAGGAAGTGGACTTATCCAAGGAAGCTCACATTTGAAAATAGCAGTTAGTTTTTAAGGGATCACAACGTTTTTGCCTTTTTTATTTTTATTTTGTTCTTGCCCGATTTAAAAAAAAATCAGTGCCACAACATTTCTTTGGTTAAATGTATGAATAAATACTGTTTATTTGTAATGTATTAATATATGTTTTATTTACTGTTGTAAACCGTCCAGAATAGTGCATTTCGCTAATGGAGAGATATATGAATCACATCAAATCAGATCCAACCCAAACAAATTAATCAATCAATAAGAGCAAATGAGACTGTCAGTTATCATTTCTACCTAGCCCTCAGATGTTGGTCAGGATTAATAAAGCAGTGTGGGAGGAAAAGCATGGAGGAACTCCAGGTTTTGCCAACCATCCAACCCCTTCACCCTCTGGCATCCTCACCATGCATACAGGCCACGGTGTCACCCTCCTGCTTGGTCTCCACGTGGGGCAGACCTGGTGGTGGATTTGGTCCTCCTAGCAAGAAACCAACAGTCTCCTCCTGTACCGGCACCTGAAAAAGAAGAGAAGAAAATCAGGGCTGCCTTGGGACTGGCCGTATGGACACGTGGGCAGGAGATCTCCCCCTTTAACAGTGGTGTGGTGGAAGAGGGTGTTTCAGCAGGCGAATGTACAGGACGTCTCAGCTTCTTTTCCATGTGGCCCCTTTAGTTGGGAGAGGGTGGGTCCAAGATTTTTTTTTGCTGCCACCTTTGAGGGTCAAAACGGTGTCCCTCTCCCCCGGTGGAATCTCATTTCAGCACTTGTAAAAGAAGTATCATCTTTCACCAAACCCCCAAGGGTAGAGACAAATGGCCGGGTGGCTTTACAGCAGTGGCTCCCAACCTTGGATCCCCAGATGTTCTGGGACTCAAACTCCCAGAAGCCTTTGCCACTCGCTGTGCTGGACGGGATTTCTGGGAGTTGTTGTCCAAGAACACCTGGGGACCCAAGGTTGGGAACCACTGCTTTAGAGGAGCAGCTCTACTACTGCTGGGCACAACTGGACTGTAATAGGATTGGTTCAGTTTTGTTTTATTTAATTCATCGAACACCTTTCTCCCCCAAAGGAGACTCAAGACAGCCCACAGTCTATTAAAACTACAACTACACAGTTCATTAAAACACTACAATTAAAAGTACAGGGGGGGACAGCTATTGCAATAATGATTGCCATGTCAAAATCGGGGCCCTGATCCTGACCCGTTAGAGTGCTAACTATTGTTCCTGAAGGAGAAAGAACAATCTGAAGAACTTCCTGCCCTGGTTGAGGTTTAGAACGAGCAAGACAGAGCTCTTTTTAGCCCCCTTGCAGTAACTCAGATCAGAAAGATGGGTGGGGTATAAATAAATAAAATAAATAAAGATTGGGATTAACAAGTTCATTTTAACTCTGTTGTTTTAAAAATCCTTCTTTAATATTTGTATACTTACGGGGTTGAATTTTTAAATATTGTCTTTTAAATGTTGCAAGCCACCGTGTCCTTTTGAGAAGAAAGGGAGGATAAAAATACTTTAAATACTTTTATTTGTTTGTTTGTTTGTTTGTTTGTTTGTTTGTTTGTTTGTTTGTTTGCTTGCTTGCTTGCTTGCTTGCTTGCTTGCTTGCTTTCATTTCATTTTATTTCATTTTTAACTACCCATCTGGCTGAGGGTCATTTTATTAAATAAATGAAAGGTCAGCTGAGGTGTTGGGAGGTAGAAAGTAGAGATACGGAGATCAGTATAAACTCTTAATTGAACGCTTTGCTAAATCCCATTTTAGGATGGCCTTCGCACACCTGACAGTTTCCAGACACACTCTATTACAAACCCCATCGCCCCCAGTCATCAGATTCTAGGATTTGTGTCCTATCCAATGTGGAAAGTGCCAGGTTGAGGAAAGCAAGTTAAAAACTACAGGAAGAGTCGTTACCAAAAGAGTCATTAACAACATGTGCCATGGAAGGAGGGAATAATAGCTAAATGTGCTTTCCCCTGCAAATGCCATACTTTTCCCCCCAAAAAGCTTTCCAGATAGCTCAGTGGTTTAGGTATCTGGCTGTGAGACCAGAGGTCGGCTGTTCAAATCTCCCTCGGTGCTTCCTGGGACAAGAGCCAGCCTGGGTTGCCTTGGGCAAGCTGCGCAGTCCCAGGGCTCCCCCTAGAGGAAGGGAAGGGTATACCACGCTCCCCCTAGAGGAAGGGAAGGGGAAACCCTTTCTGCATGTTCTCTACTTGGAAAACTCTGAAGAGTCACTATAAGTCAGAATTGACTTGACAGCACAATATTATTATTATAACTTAATTGACAAATAGTGAACATATTGATTTAAATACCAACCCTATTTTATTTATTTATTTGTTTGTTTGTTTGTTTAAAATATTTTTACCCCGTCTTTTGCCTTAAAAGGGTCCAAGTCGGCTTACAACAATTAAAAGACATCTAAAAGCAAAAAACTGTGAGTACACAAATATTTTTAAAATTACATAAGTATTATATTAAAAACCATCAATAAAAACATATCTTTAAAAACCATAGAGCACAACAATCATTTAAAAAAAAAAACACCTGAGGCTGCCAATCACTAAGAAAAAGTCTGCCTGAAGAGAAAGGTCTTTGTATTCTCGAAGGCTTCCATGGCCAGCACCTGATGGTTGTTGTAGGTTTTTCGGACTCTTTGGCTGTGTTCTGGAGGTTTTTCTTCCTAACGTTTTGCCAGTCTCTGTGGCCGGCATCTTCAGAGGAGAGGAGCTAGAACTCTGTCTGTGTTCTGGTGTAGTGTGTGGGATAGTTGAGTATTTGTAGCTGTGGGTTTTGTTCTTTTCAGGAGATTGGGTGATTATTGTGTCAGGGTGTTTTTTTTCTGTGTTTTGTTGTGATAATGGGGGGAAGAGATGATCTGTCACTGTGATTGATGGGTGTTGTTAGCTAATCTTTTGTGTGTAGTCATCACCGGTTCGTGTGGCTCGGTAGACTTCAACCTTTTTGCAGGCTGTATTTTTCAGTGCTGGGAATCAGGCTTTGTTGAGTTTTAGACTTTCTTCTTTTTTGTTGAAGGTCTGCTGGTGTTTGTGGATTTCAATGGCTTCCCTGTGTAGGGGAACACAATGATTGCTGGCGTTGTCCAATAGTTGGGTTTGGTGCTAAGAAATTGAGCTTCACAGTTCTGATTCGCTACAGGCAAATGGCTATTCTAAGAATGAAATCAAAAGAGCCATCAAACCGAGAAAACAACACCCAACTGAAGAAGAAAAACAGCAACCCACAAATAAAATATTTCTGCCATACATCAAAGGGATCATGGACCGCATGGGGAAACTGATGAAAAAACACAACCTACAAACAGTATTCAGGCCCACCACAGAAATACAACGTATGTTGCAGTCAGGAAAGGACAAAAGGGACCCCCTCAGCACTGCAGGAGTATAACAGAAACCTTGCAGTTGTGGCCAGGTATATATTGGGACCACAAAAGGCAGCATCCACACCAGAATCAAAGAACATGAGAGACACTGCAGACTAAAACAACTGAAAAATCGGCAGTAGCTGAACATGCCCTAAAACAAGCTGGGCATGAAATCCTATTTCAAAACACAGACGTACTGGACAATACCAGCAATCATTATGTTAGACTAAACAGGGAAGCTATTGAAATCCACAGACATCAGGAGAGCTTCAACAAGAAAAGAAGAAAGTCTAAAACTCTACAAAGCCTGGCTCCCAGCACTGAAAAATACAACCAAAAGGTCAGCAAACTACCCAGTCACAAGGACCAGTGATCACTGCACACAAAAGACTAGCGAACAACACCCATCAATCACAGTGACAGACCATCTCCCCCCCTTATCACAACAATACACCCATAACAAAAAACACCCTGATCACCATAATCACCCAATCTCCTGAAAAGGACCAAAGGCTGATCCCACAGCTACAAATACTCAAGTATCCCACACACTACACCAGAAAAGCAGAGTTCTAACTCCTGTCCTCTGAAGATGTTGGCCACAGAGAGCGGCGAAACATTAGGAAGAAAAACCTCCAGAACATGGCCGAAAAACCTACAACAACTATCAGAAAGATCTTTGTCTGCTTATGAAAGGATAGCAAAGATGGGGCCAGCCTGGCCTCTAGTGGAAGGGAGTTCCAGAGTCTGGGAGCATTATTATTTCCATCATTATTGCTATTATGTATCATCAAGTAGCACTTGAGTTTGGTCGAGCCTGTCAATTAATGACCTCTAATTCCCAATGATTAACAAACAAATACAGAAAAATTATAAGAAAAGTTTCAAGGTAACATAGGGACTAACACGTTTTGATTGGTATAAGCTTTCATAGACTGTAGCCCACTTCCTTATGCACCTGAAGCAGCCCGATATAGTCACTCTCTTGGAGTAAAAAACCCAGCAAACTAATTTCTCTTCTAAGCGTTCATGATTTAGTGCTTAAAGCTATTGTGCCAAGCCAGTGCCAACTGGTGCCCATCGTGGTCAGTGGGGCAGAAAGTAGAGCAACCCACAGTGGGAGGAGTCAAGGGTGACAGACAGGACCAGAGGGCAAAATCTCCCTGAATCTCTGCCTTCCAGAGCACCCCTTTCATGTAAAGCGCAACTCAATTGAGGAAGCAGAAAAATACGCCCAAATTAGAAATGTTCCTTCCTGTAGTCACTTCCTGTTCCTTAAACCTAGATTCCTTAAACCTAGATTCCTTAAACCAAGATTCCTTAAATCTAGATTTTAAAGGTGGAGGTTTAAAAAGAAGGGAATACACTGTATTTGGTAAGAGGGCAGACCGGAAGACTTTTGAGAAGCAAAGTTCCAGGTTGCGTTCTCAGACCAGCTCTAGATTCCTTAAACCTAGATTCCTTAAACTAAGATTCCTTAAACCTAGATTTTAAAGGTGGAGTTTAAAAGGGAAGGGAATACTTGGTAAGAGGGCAGACAGGGAGGCCTCTGTTCTGAGTGGGCATAAACAGCCCTCACCTTTTCCTCCCGTCTTCCAGAGTCCTGTGATTGAAAGGGAAAGCCTTCCACCAAGGCGAGGGCCTGGGCCATGCTCTCCGGGCCACGATCCCTCACCCAGCTTTGCATTTTTTCTGGCAGGATAGCCAGAAACTGCTCCAGGATCACCAGCTCCACCACCTGCTCCTTGGTGTGTCTCTCGGGCGTCAGCCATCGGAGCCCAAGGTCCCAAAGCTGCCTGCTGTTCTCTCGGGCGCCCTCTGCTTCCCGGTAGCAAAACCGCCGGAAGCGCTGGCATCGTGTCTCCATCGCGTTGTCGTCTGTGGTCTCTTCCTTCACTGTTGGAGAGGCGTCCACATTTCTGTGGGCCTCTGGTGCAGCTTCTGGACTACGGCCTGGCAAGTGGTCTGAGGTAACCCACTCTCCTCTAGACCAGCGACCGGCCTGGGCTATCTCCTTGAAGGAAGACTGAAAAGCTTCCTGCTGAGAAAAGTCTGCCAGCGCCGGATCCCGCCGTCCCACATGGGAAGAGCCCACTGTCCTCAGAGAGCCATGCCATGGTTTCAGCCCTTTCTGTGGACGACATGTTGCTGCGCAAGGTGGCCCTGGTTGGAGCTCCCGAGGATTATTGGTCACGATAACACGAGGCGTGCGTCTGCCTTCTTCCCATGCTTCCTCCAGCTCCTGTTTCGGCTCTTCCATTTTCATGCCCTGCCGCTACAAACAAAATTAAGCACATTTGAAGAGCGCTGCACAAATGGGATGCTAGGAAAACGGTGCTTCTGAGGCGGTGCTGATCAAACATCAAAAGAACTGCACCGGATCAGACCAAAAACTAGTAACGACTTTGAGAGATCTGGAAGCCAACTTTTTTCCGCTCAGACCCACCAGAGATTGGATGGTCTGCAAACAAAACAAAACAAAACAAAACCACACAAAAAATAAATGTGTGTAACTTTTGAAGGGGGGGGTGTTGGACTTCAGCTTCCAGAAGTCCTCAGGCAACGTGAGCAGCAACTTCCTGTGGGGCAGGAGAGAAAGAGCCAAAACATGGTAAACGAGCCTTCAATTTGCCCGCCCTGCAGTCTATTTCAAATACTGGTGGTCCATGGTCTGAACATGATGGCCACTGAAAACCACCATTTAAGGGCAAGTGACGCTTAGCCTGCCTCTGCTCAGGGGACCCTTTGGCCACCCCCCGTCCTCTTTGGACCATAAGCCACCCCTGAGCAAAAGCATCTCCCCCTTCCCTTCCACAGTGACAAACCTGAGCAAGGATGTCCCAAGAGATTTTGCTACCTGAGGCAACAGACAAGATGGCAGCTTTTCCTCAGTCTACATTACAGAATTGTCATGGGCAGATGATAGACTTCTTTGTGAAAGCTAGTGGGGTGGTGGTTTACAAATGTGTGATACTTAACCCTTGGTATAGGGGGTTCAGGTCAAGCTGCGTGACACACGCAACTCAGCCCCCGCCCCCCAACCTGAGGGAACAGCCAGGTTCTACCATCTCTAGAACCTGCCACCTGAGAATGTGCCGGTTGTTGTCCCTGTTGCCTCACGGTAGGGCCAGCTAGAACCAAGGAAGTCTATAAGCAAGAGGTGAAGGCAGTCATGCCTTTAGGTTACTGTTTTCCTGCCTGAGGGCAAACCGGATGAGAAATGGAATAAAGCATCTTCTTTATGCAGAGAATGTACACCCGAGTGTGTGCCACATCCTGACCCTTTCGACAGCCCATGCGCATTAGTTCAGTTAGGAAGCAGATTATTATTCCTTTAAATATTCATTCAATATAGTCCTATTCATTACATCCATTCATTGAAATCACAGGTCTGGCTACAGAAAAGCTGACCTGGGGTGTTGATCTTTCTGTTCCTGCTTCTGCCATCCACCCTTCTTTTTTTGAGGAGAAAGGGAGGCCCAAGGCTATAGGATCCTGGATTTGAGCGCCTCCCCCGCCCAGCTTGTACCACTGCACATCCAAGTCAAGCATCATCCACGAGCTCTCGCTGGACGCTTTTGCAAGCTTCCCTGAGATGAGTAGCAACGGGCCACCCTTCCACCCTGGGGTGATAAGAGGGGGATTCTGGGAATTGGAGTCAAGATTAAATAAAGAGATGTCTTCCAAGCCAGTGGTTCTTAACCTTTGTTACTCTGATTTTTTGAACTGCAACTCCCAGAAACTCCAGCCAGCACAGTTGGTGGTGAAGGCTTCTGGGAGTTGCAGTCCAAAACTCCTGAGTAACCCAAGGTTAAGAACCAGTGTTTCAAGCTTTGAGAAGGACTTTTGGGTGATCCCGCCAGGCTCTCCCCCTTAAGACGATCTGAGGAACCAAAGCATTTTAAAGAGCATCCTGTATCCTTCCCAGTTCATTGACCTGATTCGCCAGAAGCAAACTGGGGAAGCATTCTTAAGTGTCTCTCCGCTCAGAGCAGGGACTTTGGGGTGAATAGAGGGATCCCCCTCTATTCATCTCTCCAGCCAGGGGTCCCTTGTTGAGTACCGCACCTCCCCCCTCATCCCCTCCCAGCCTCCCCTCCCCCTCTCGTCTTGTGTCTCTCCCCTCTGCATGCCCTTGGTGCCAGCCCTTCCTCGCCTTCTCCACTCGCTCACCTGATCCGGGGACCCTTTGCCAGGGATGTGCCTAGAAGGGAAGAAAGGAGGGAAGGAGGAAGAGGAGGAGGAGGAGAGCCCTCATTTCCTGCTGAAACCAAGAAGGCAAGGCAGGTAGAGAGAGAGAAAAAGGGAGGGAGAAGCCATTGTCTCTCTCTCTGTGTGTGTGTATGATGGTGGGGCTTGGAGGGAGGAGTGGAGGACAAAGTTTTCCCAAGGAAAAAAAAAAGGAGGCGGGGCGGGAAGACAAGATGCTTTCCTCCCTCCTCTCCCCTTGCTGGGCTTGTCTAGAAAAGCCAGCTTGGTGTGTTTAACCCCTATCAGCCTCTCTTGAGGAAAGCTGCCGAGATGAGAGAGATCTCTGGGGCAGCTCCCTCCCCTCCCCGCCCTAGATGGGGAGAATGACACATTCGCCTCACTATCTACCCACTATCTGTCCTACTTTGGGCACATCCCGAGAAGGCAGGATTTTCTGGAAAAGCCAATCAAGCTGGGAAAGGTGGAAGGTCGCAGGGAAAGAGGAAGAGCACATGTGAGATGGATTGATTCCCTCAAGGAAGCCCCAGGCTTGAGTTTGCAAGAGCCGATTGATCAGGGCTGTTGAGGACAGGACCTTTTGGAGACGGCCCTTGTGCGGAATGAAAAAGATACTTAGAGATTTTGTATACCTTGGTTCCAATCATCAGTCCAAAGGGAGACGGCAGCCAAGGAATCAGAAGAAGACGGGGACTTGGAAGGGCAGCCATGAAGGAACCAGAAAAGATCCTCAAGTGCAAGGATGCGTCACTGGAGACCAAGACCAAGATCATCCATATTCTTGTATTTCCCATCACCGTGTATGGGTATACCAAGACCAAGATCATCCATATTCTTGTATGTCCCATCACCATGTATGGGTGTGAAAGTTGGATAGTTGTTGTTTCGACTTATATACTGCCCCATAGTGCTGGAGAGCAGTCTAGGCAGTTTTTACGTCATAATTATGCAGCTTGGCCCCCAGTGAACTGGGTACTCAGTTTTACCGACCTTGGAAGGATGGAAGGCTGAGTGGTCCTGAGCAGAGGCTTGACCGCAGTACTGCAGTTTAACCTCTGTGCCAGAGGCTTGACTGCAGTACTGCAGTTTACCCGCTGTGCCACAGGGCTCAGCTTGACACCCAACTTGCCCTAACAAAGAAATGAAGGGAAGGTTAGTCAGCTACATCACATTTTATAGTTTAAAAAAATGCAGTAGGGCCCCCATATCTGCAGGATCAGTATCTGCTGATTCACTTATCCACGGTATAAAAATTTAAAAAATATTTCTAAAAATCCTAGAAAAAAGTATTTCTAAAGGTGAAGTTACGAGAATTAGTCACGAGAGGGAGCCAGAGACCACACAATGTATAATGTTTGCTGTTAAAACATAATTCAAGTTCACATTTTTCAACATCCACGGGGGGTGGCTTGAAACTGATCTTACTGTTCATATTTTGAGGATGATACTGAGGTTTGTCCCTCAGACAGGTCAAAGGTGGTCCATAGAACCCAAGGATGTTGTCTTGTACCCAAACAGACATCTTGGGGTAACATCAGTCAGCGAGCACGAATGACTCTTCTTGCCTCCCTACCTTGCAAATTAAAGCGCATTGTACTGTAAGCTGGTTGATTGTTTGGCAAAACATCCCACTAGCGCTTCTCCACCTTCCTGGCAAGAACCCCCCCTCCTCCAAACTCCAGTTGTAATAATTTAAAGAATTAAGAATCACAGAATCACGAAGTTGGAAGGGGCCTCTAAGGCCATCAAGTCCAACCCGCTGTTCAATGCAAGAATTCAGATCAAAGGATATCTGCCTGGTGATTGTCTAAGTTTCTCTCGAATGCCTCCAATGTTGC